GGGGGCCGATGCTTTGAATAATGGGAAGTGTGTTGCAGGCGTCCAAAAATATGAGAGAAAGATTTGCTTACTCTTTGTTTTTTCTTTTTTTTGTGTGTACGCTTTGCTTGAGTAATAAATTAGATTGCGTGTAGAGTTAGCTGATTTTTTTTCTTCATATTTTAAATAAATTCATCCTATAAAAAAAGTTCTCCACTTTCAAGAATGTAAATAGATTAGACTTGTTTAAAATTATAGTTAATGATAATATATATATATACTATTTTCTGAGGTTCATATATATGAATCTCGTGAAAAATTAATAGTTTAAATATGTTTTTTGATCATTTAATTCTTTAAACTATTTAGAAAGACTGGGTGAATAATGATTTGATGTAAGAGAATTTTGTGTAATTTAGAGCTCTTATGGAGGTTTACTTTTAATGGTATTTTCAAAAGTATTTTTTGGAATGAGTTTTGGAGCAGAGTGTATTAAAAATACTCCGGACGCAAATGAAAGTAGTAGATTCATAGGGTGTATGCCTTAGAAGTTTGTCATGTCCCTCCTTGGGAGGTGTAACTACACCTCATGTTATACTGGACTCTAAGCCGACCTATAAGCCGACCTAACGGAGATATACACATCTGGTACATACCAGCAACACGCAAACACAAGAAATTAAACAAGTATATCTTGGCTTAAAGAAGGCTTTGGCAGGCAAGGTTGTAGTACAATCACCTGCGCAGATAATTACTTGAGCCAACAATTCACAATAACAATATAATTCTATGCAGGCCGGTAAGACCATCATTCTTTCTAATATCACAAATCCCTATTCGGTTCGACGAGATCATCATGGAATCTAAGCTTATATAAGGGCATCCCAGTGCACTAAAGCTCCCATTATGCGGGGGGTCCAGGGAAGGACCGGACCACATGAGTTTATTATACGCAGCCTTACCTTTGCATTTTTGCAAGAGACTGTTTCCACGAAAGAAAGGATGCAACATGAGGACTTCCCAAATATATATACATATGTACAAAGCCATCAAGGCCGTCAAACTGTCAAAACAAAAGATAGGGCCACTCTAGTCAACCACATACATCCATACAACCCACAGTCTGCAAGTCTCTAAGAGTAGATATTTGACGGACAAAAGCCCAGACCTACCCATCAACTGAACAACATAAGGATAACAACCCTTTAAATATGGCAGCTTCAAAAGGAAGGAACAGACTAAACTTCTAATACTCAACTAATCTACTGAGGAGGTCCCTAAACCTATCAATCAGGACCAGCAGACAAGAGTGCAGCGCCCGTAGGCTAAAGGCATCACCAGTACATAAGGCAACAAAAGTTGAAGCTGATAATAAGTACATAAAGAAATCATCTATAAGTGTAAGAAAATAACCTGAAAGATCTCAACAGGCTATGTTGTAAGTTATACAAACAACAATCAAACAAGAACTCAACTCGACCCCCATTAGTCTGGCAGGTACACGTAACAAACAATAACTCACTTGAGCCCCATAAGCTCTGGCATATACATATCAATATATATACCCCTATTGATAACATTGTAGCCTTGTAGATATTCTGTAGCTCAACTATAACTAGCGCTTTTTAGGCAAACAATATGAATTTGTACATAGCCTGCTTAGGTGATCTATATTTCTATATATAACTTTCTTAGGCAATTTTTTGCCTCTATATATAGACACTCTGGCAACTGCATGTGAGCCCACAAGTCTCTTGTTCTTGAGCCATCTTAGATCCTGTAGCTATGTCCTGAGCCTCTTGGCTCCTGTAGCAGTATCCCAGGCACATAGAGCCCATATAAATGTAGGGCAGTCAACTGAGGCTCCTCTACGGGTCAGCAATACCCCTTAGGAAATCTAAAAGCCCGTAAAAGATCAAACTTCAATATAGCTTTGCAGGCCTCAATATAGTCTCTTGTAGATATCATGTCACTCCATAAGCAAGGTATAGCCCCATAAGCATTCTGCATAATTGATATTTGCCTCTTGGCAGCCTGTATAGCATCTGACGGACGTATGTCATGTTTCTATAGCTAACTAGAGAGTTATAAAGATGATAATAGTAACAACTAGCCTAGAAACAAGAAGTGTGACTCTGAGCGATCGGTACGACAATTTGTATGTATATAAAATTTCCAAGCCCTAGCATTAATATTATCTTTTATCCACTTCAGCCCACACTAATTCAAGTCACTCCCTTATGATTCTAAGTGTTTTTAAGTATCTCTAACATCTGAATACTAATTCTTAACGAAATCCTACACCATAATCTTAGGGTTTTCAAGAAAATACATATCAAGATAAAAATGAATTTTTGGAGTTCTTCTTCAGAATTTAGTTCTTTCTTCAAGTATTTTGGAGTAACTAAGGTATGTAAAGCTATATCTAAGTGTGGGAGAATCTCTTTTCCACCTCACAACATGTTATTCATGTTTATATTTCTCCTCCATGAACTAGCTAGAGCTTATGTATGAAAATTTCACTTTTTCTCACAATGAACCAAATTTCTATGAATTTTCAAGAATTTCTTTGATGTCTTATTCTATGATTTTTCCCATGGTATTTCAGTTAAATTTTTCTGAAATTATGATTATGCCCTTTTTCTTCAAAGAAGACAAACTTTATGATATTAGACATGACTTTTTCACAATTGTGAAACATGAATTATGACTTATTATTTATCATGGTTGTTGTTAGGTAACGTCAACATCCTACCTATTGCAAGGCCCACGAAAGAGCGGATGGTCCGGCTTGGAGTCATGATCAAACATGGGGCTTGCTTGATGGTCTTAATTAAGTAATAAAATTGCACCCTTGTTGTCAGCTATAGCTTTTGGCATGATGGTAAGCGCTTGATCCTAACAAATGGTATCAGATCCAAGGTCATGAGTTCGATTCTCAAGAGCAACATGATGCATGAGGCAGGTGTTGAGAGGGGAATTATTGGGTAACATTAATATCCTGCCTATGTCAAGGCCCACGAGAGGGCGGATGGCCCGGGCCGAAGTCATGATTGAACATGGCGCTTTCTTGGTGGACGTAGTTAAGAAATAAATTTGCGCATTTGCTATCAGCTATAACTTTTGATATGATGGTAAGTGCTTGATAGTAATAACTATGCAATATAATGCATATGAAATCCTATAAATTATTTGTGTGCTCATTACGATTATATTCCACGAGCTTTATGAACTTTTCTATGAAAAGCATCAACGACATGATTTATGATTTTTTTTCTAAAAAGATAAGCCTTTATGATTTTTTATGGACTAAGAATATGACTTGATGAATATGATCTATGAATAAGATATAATGAAAGAACTATGTTTATGGGATCTTAAGCCAGCTTAATGAAAAAATGTTTTGGGAGAAGTATTTTTAATCGAGAAGGCAAATCTAAACAACTATTCCCTGAAACTACGTATGCTAACATAAGATAAGGGTCATACCAAACTTTTCAGTGATTCCTTTATGTTATCCTCTTGTGGATGTGATATGGATTCAGTTGCTAGCCTATGTTATGTATGTCTCAATCCTGGCAAGGTATGTGATAACTTAGTCGATCAGCCAGAGATCGAAATCTTTGTGCAAACATGGTGGTTATGTCGGTTATACTTCAAAAACTCCCATAAAAGAAAAATGCTTTATATTATGAAAATGATTCTCATGTTCGAGTTTCTTGTTTCTCCCCATGTTCTTTCCATGATATTATTGGATTAACTTTCCCCCTTTTGATGTATATCCTATGATGTTCAATTTCATATACTTTAAGGGAATGTTTAACCCTTTTATTTTATTATAACTAATTAGGTTAGTTGGGTGTTCCAGTTGAATTAACGACATATTAAGATGGATCATTAAAGGGTAAGATTATATGTGAGTCAAACTATTTACTATGAACACATGTACTCAATTTCAATACTTGAAGGCATATTTGGGCCTTTTTAGTTTAACAATAAAGAACCTAGATATTACCTCAAAGATCACTAGCATGGCAAGCACCGAAACCAAATGAATTTTTCAGCATCTTAATAGGAGAAATATTGCAAGAATAAAAAATTTTCTGCACAACCAAACATGTTCTGTAACGTTATCATTGAGATGAGACTACTAACATTTGTCATGTCCAAAATATATTGCAATTTTACATAGGTTGATTCAAAGGATTTTCTATATGATTGTAATCTTCTTGCAACACAATGACCCTGTTATTAATTTTTTCCTTGACATGTCAAGTGTTGATTTGAACGAATGGGACATCCATCATTGGCTTGGATACAGTAGCAAGCTTGGATACAAATATGTTTTGTATTGGCAGGCTCACGAAAGCAAATCAGTTCTTAGTCAAGAGTTTGAGCAATCCATCAATATAGAAGATGTCGAATCAACTTTCCACATGATTTAGTCATTCTTGAAGTCTTTACTAGAGAAGTATTCTAGCCAACAATCCGGCCTCCAGAGCAACAGTACTTCTTCAATCCAAACACTTGCAAAGTTAATATTTGAATACAGACTGCCTCTAAAGGCATTGGCTTATGATCCAATACATGAAAAAGAAATGTGTTGTGCAATTTCTGCTTTAAAAGAAATGCCTCATTATTGTTTAGCGACAAATAAGCCAAGAAATTGATAAAACTCAAATATGAATTCCCTATCATGGAACACAACGAATCAAGTTATCAGGAATTCTTGACCAACTCCAATGAGGACAGGGAGAAACTAAATAATTGGATTAGATCAGAAGCAAGGTTGAAGTCGGAGTATGATAAAAGAAAGGAACAAGCTAGGGAGTTGAAAGAAATACTTCAAGCTATAAAGACCAAACAGAAAGAAATCATTGACGAAAGAGGAAAAGCGTCTCAAGCAGCTCAAAAACTCATATTGTTAGCTCAAGAAAAAGGTGGCAAGATAGAAAGCACGAGAACTGAATTGGTAACAACAAAGATGCATATGGATAGATGTCTTTGAGAAAAATTGGTCCAACTTTCGGTCTATATTCCCCTAGGTGTTACTTTCAGGCCTCTCCTTTTGTTGTCACAAGTCACAATTGTTTAACTTTCTTGACTATATAGTTCCTTAGGACTAGATACATTTTGGAAGGTGGACTAAAAGTTGGACCAATTATTTCTCAAGACATCCATCCATATGCATCTTTATTATTACCAATTCAGTTCTAGTGCTTTCTATCTCGCCCGCTTTTTTCTTGAGCTAACAACATGAGATTTTGAGCTGCTTGAGACACTTCTCGTCTTTTGTCTATGATTTCTTTCTGTCTGGTCTTTATAGCTTGAAGGATTTCTTCCAACTCTCTAGCTTGTTCCTTTCTTTTATCATACTCCGACTTCAATCTTACTTCTGATCTAATACAGTTATTCAGTTTTTTCTTGTCCTCACCGAAATTGGTCAAGAATTCCTAATAACTTAATTCATCGTGCGCCAAATCCCTCCATTTTTTAACCATGACAGGGAATTCATATTTGAGTTTTACCAATTGCTTGGCTTGTTTGTCGCTAAACAATGATGAAGCATTTTCATTTAAAGCAGAAATTGCACAACACATTTCTTTTTCATGCATCAGGTCATGTGCCAATGCCTCTAAAGGCAGTCTAATTGAGCATTCAAATATTAACGTTGCAAGTGTTTGGGTTGAAGAAGTACTATTGCTCTAGAGGCCGGATTATTGGCTGGAATACTTCTCTGATAAAGACTTCAAGAATGACTAAATCATGTCGAATCGACATATCAAACACAAGGATTGGATGTGTAGACCATATATGATTCCATATTTGTAACAATACACTCACCTTGTTATTTCTTTGATGGTCATGCGGCTTCATCTATATCATTTCTTGGTAACTCATATATTCTGTTTATACAACGTCCTTCATTGTAATAGTTTTGATCAATATGATTATTCTTCTCCCACAGGACCTCCTTAATCTGTTTACAAAACATTAGTACACAACATAAATAGTGAAAAATCATCTATGAAATCCTTTGAATCAACCTATGTAAAATTGCAATATATTTTGGACATAACAAATATTAGTAGTCTCATCTAAATGATAATGTATATAAAGTTTGGGCTGCCAAACTTAAATTGTAACTTTTTCCACATTGAAGATCAATGGAAGCTAAATTAATTTTTTTTTAAATAAGTAGTGAAAACCAAGAATGAGCCTTTCTTAATTAATCTTTTTCAACTCAAATTTATTGAAAACTAGTTCAAACTCTTAAGATTCACATAAATGAGACATCCTAGGATAAACACAGGATAAAGTCAAATTAAATCTTTGATACAAATTTTTTTCTAGCATAAAGAAACATCTTTGCCTTAAATATTTTGAATATACTCTCATTTTTTCATTTAATAAACTATATTTGATGTATTCTCAAGCTTTTAAATCAAGCAACTAATAGAGAAGCTAAGATGCAGAGTATGTATAAGGTGATTCAAACAGATATAAAACTTCACATATATTCAGACTCTTTTCGAAGAAGAGCAACAAATTTTTAGGAATTAATTTTAGAAATAAAATGGAATTTTCTACTTTACACATAACACATTAAATCATCAACGAGAACTTACTTGTTTTCGAGTATCATAAGCGGAAGACTGGACAAACTGCGGCTGGAATTACTAGTCGATGGTGACCACAGCCTAAACCTAATGGTTAGTTGTAGAAAGCCTAAGAAAATACGGCGGAAAAGAATATTTTGGTTGTACACTGTAATTGTACTTATATAGAAAGAAATTAGGGTTAACTTTCCAACTACCCTAATGGGCCTTGAGGCATGCCTCATGGATGGATCCAAGTTTCCTACCATAAGTGTCAACCATGTAAAAACGGTAACTTTATAATTATCTAAAGTTTCAATAACTACATAACACATATCCTTATACGGAATATACTTACCCTCAATCCTAATGGTTAGTTGTAGAAAGCCTGAGAAAATACGGCAGAAAAGAATATTTTGATTGTACAGTGTAATTGTACTTATATAGAAAGAAATTAGGGTTAACTTTCCAACTACCCTAATGGGCCTTGAGGCATGCCTCATGGATGGATCCAAGTTTCCTATCATAAGTGTCAACCATGTAAAATCGATAACTTTATAATTATCTAAAGTTTCAATAACTACATAACACATCCTTATACGGAATATACTTACCCTCAATGCTAAAATGATATAATTTAAAGCTTATCTTTATTCATTTAACCAGGATGATTGCAAGCCCCTCAACCACTTCCCAACACGAAAAATGAGACAATTTAGTAACAAAATTATGAAAGTTTTACTTACTACATAAAGATAATTACAATTGAAGCAATTTAAATAGTATTTGTTAGTCTTATATTTTCAAGTATAAATTAACGATTTGAACAACAACATATCCAGTGTGATTCCACAAGTGAAATTTGCGACACGAAGACTTCAAAGGTGATCACCCATTCATAGATAATTGGGTTGGGAGTAGCTTAATTGGTGAGCTCCCCACTTCGGTGATAAAAATAATAATTTATAAATATATTTTTACTCTTCAATTTTCTAAGTTGTTTTACAATTGATTCACATATCCTCTGTATCAACAATATATCATTTCTTTCTTTTCAAATTGTCTACCAGATACATGATGGAATGATCCTCCATCTATCCCTATCTCTTGCACCCACTCCATCTTCCTCCCAACTGAAAAAAGTATCAACAATAATGTCCAGGAAATGCCCCTAAGATTGATAAAAATCTTCCATAGCTGGTCAGTAAAAGAACATTAATGTAGGAACAGGTGGTTGACTGTCTCTGCTTCCTTTCCACACAAAAAGCATCTTGAGCAAAGATGCACCCCTCTTTTAGCCACATTATCAAGGGTAAGAACAACCTCATATGCTAGAAACCAAGTGAAACAT